TAATTATATTTTAGATTTTTTATATTTAAAATAATGTTTATCATGTATTTAATTATTTTTATTTGCAGTTAGTTACACGAATTTAAACATGAAACTTTAATATAATGTACTCATGCATATTCTACTTGTAATATTAAATTTTAAGTAATATACATTAATAAACAATACTTTATGTATAAAAATTGTTTTTAAGAGTTTTTATCAAATGTTTTATAATATATTATAGATTATATTTAATTAGTTGTTGTGTTTTATCTTCACATTAACATATGAGGGATTTTCTAAGAATAAATTTTTAGTAGGAGAGTTTAGAGGTTCGATTTCAACGATTTAATCTTAAATTATCAGTCAAATTGTAATAGTGGTTTATAAAATTTTCAAATTGAACGGCTTGATAACAAGTGATCAAACTGGTTAAATCCGACCATAAAAAGATAGTCTGATCTAACCGATTTGAACAATTTTGATCCTCTTATGGGTTTTAAACTAAAAAAACATGACATCTATATTTAAAATGAAATTTCTAATATAACACTTAAAAATAATATAACGAATTATAAAAACGTGTATCTTTGTAATTAAAAAAGACATTGAGCAAATGAAAAAAGTTAAACAAATCTACCAACAATAGTTGGAATTTTGGACAAACATTGAGCAACGCTAAGGGTGATTTGGAATTTGATTTTTGACGGATTTCTGCATTTGTCAATTTAGATAACGAGGTTGATTAAAAATGAAAACTAAAAATATAATGTCTTTGAAGAATTGTTTTTAACTGGCCATAAAAGTAAAGACTACAACATAAAAAATAAATATAATTAATACATCTGTATTTTTGACGGTCAATTCTGTCCAGATGGCTTAGAAAAAGGTTTAAACTGCAAATTAGACCAGACCGGACAATTTGAATATTTTTTAATCTAGACCATACCACCTGACCACTCAAACCACGAAGGGGGTGTTTGGGATTGCTTATTTGAAAAAAAAATTATGTTTTTTTATAAAAACACTTATCAACTTATTATAAGTCAGAAGGGTTTCTTTTTCAAAAACTCCTTATTACCGGTTTGGCACCGGTATAAGTTGTTTATCCAAACACTCAAAAGTGCTTATTACCGGTACCACACCGGAATAAGTTAATAACTTATTTTTATAAAGGGAAAATTGCACCAAAATGGAACCAACTTT